CACTATAGCTTGGCGCAATATTTGAGCGACGAGATCGAGAGTATTCAACGGAGAGCCCTTCGTATAATCTTTCCTGATATCAAATATGAAGATGCGTTGGTACGTGCTGGGGTGGTGTCACTGTTCCTGCGGAGAAAGACCATTTGCGAGAAACTTTTTGCTCAAATGTGTGATGAATCATCCCATAAACTCCATTCTCTCGTTCCCCCAAGACATAAAACAGGATATTCTCTACGTAATGATAATTGTCTTTCAATACCAAAGCATAGGACAAGTAGGTTTGCTAACAGTTTTATTATGGCCGGTAGTAAGGCCTACAACTCCAGTTTTAAATAATAATATTTAAGCTATATTCTTACCTAGAACTATTACAATTAACAGCTTGTAAATAATGAATGTTTGTAGACATTTTACTCGTATGCATGTAAACCAGTGTAATTCAGTTCTTAACTGCAAAATTGGTATCTTTTAATAAATTGAATAAATTGAATTATTCGTACTATTCGTCGACTATTCGCGGACTATTCGTACTATTCGTCGACTATTCGCGGACTATTCGTACTATTCGTCGACTATTCGCGGACTATTCGCACTATTCGTCGACTATTCGCGGACTATTCGTACTATTCGTCGACTATTCGCACTATTCGCACTATTCGCTTCACTATTCTAGTTTTATCAATTGCCTGATTTTTTGGGGGGAGCACCATTTTTTGAGATTGTAATTAAGGAGGGCCTGGAAGGGGCTATAAAAAATTGATTGGAAATGTCCCCACCCCACCAAAAAGTTCCTAAAGTTTCATTTGCATTTCAATTTTGTATTTAGGGGGCCATTTAGTAATTTACCTTCAATACACACAGATAATTAAAAAGAAAAAAATATTTATGGTTAATACAACATCATGCAGAAATGCAGTTTTGTTATGAAAGCAACTGTGAAATGACTTCAAGAGAAGTAGATTGGTATGTTGATCTAGATGACAGATTTAGTTCCTGTGGGGGCCGTGAATAGGTTTTCGCATCGTCGGATTTCACAGAAAAAATTGTTCGGATTTCGGATCTAGCGAACTATTTTACACGGATTTGCGAATCTTATTAATACAGCGGATTGCGGATTTATCTAATATTTTGGCTCGGATTGTGGAGTTTGCTTGCAAGTTAGTTCGCCATCCTGGATTGTGACTTCATTTTTAGCGGATTTAAATTTAGACAAGACCATTGTCGGACCGCGGATTTTGTTTCAAATTTGGGCGGATCGGCGGATTTGTATACCCCTATTCACCACCCC